TCTCTGATTCACCTGCACAACTCTAAAGAATGCCTCCAAGATGATAACCTTTTGTTTCTTTCCTAAATTTCTAAGTTAACTTTGCCCCTCTCAAACATTAATCTATTAAAAGGGGTATATAGGGTACCAACAGAACTTCGTTTAGCATGCTTTTCAGTGCATTGTCTTAGGTATTGTTTATTTTTCTAAAATACAAATATATATATTTAAAAATAAAAGAAGCCTGGCAAAAATTAGTCGCATTTGCAAGTTGCAAAATTAAAGATTTGAAAATAATTAACTACTTAATACTATGCCTGGGAATAAGGCCACTGAGCAGCAGGAATTATTTTAGAGTAAATAGGAATAAACTGAATTGCACGAAATGATGGTTTGTCAATAATTAGGGACCACTTTTAAAGACACTGGTTGTAGCAGCATGGGGGTTGAGTGTAATTGCAGATAAGAGTCAAGATTTGATTACTTCTAATTCAAAGGCAGTACAAAAAAAATTATTTTTCATGTCACCCAAATAATATATTTCCCCATGCAATGTTCTGCAGTAACTAAAGTTTTCCATTGCTTTTTTCCAGACAAGTTTCCTACACAAATTTCACATTTTCTTGGTTCGATAAAGTGCCCTCGTCTTCAAATTCTGGCAATAGCTTGGCAAATTCACAAGTTTTATGTAATGACAGATATTTGTTAATTATAGTCTTCTAAGATCTGCAGGCACCTTATTACTATGGAAAGAAGTAATGATCTGGCTATAATGTGGAATTCAAATATGGACTGCAAAAATTCAGGTGACCACTAAACAGTTATAAGGGGCTGGTTATCTATACCTCCTTGCTATTAACCAGTGCTCTGGATTTGAACCAGCCAAGATCTGAACAGTACATTGTAGGGTCTTTTAAATAAATATTACTTTTATGGTAACTATTCTTTGTCTTCAAAAGATAGAATCATTTTATGGCTTTAACGTGATTTATAAAGATCTGTGTTATTATGGTAAGGAATACAAATACTTGGCTTCAATTAATCTTTTTCAAGATATGATTGTCATCAACTTATAAATACTGCTAGCAGATAAATGACTTGCTACTGTACTGGGTCATATCAACTGATACAAGAACTGATTCCTCCTTAAATTCCTCATGGATTTTTTTTGCCAGATGCCAGTCATTTTACCTTCATAGCCATATGTTAAGACAAGAGCCACCTTAATATTTTCCGTATTATCATCGTGCATTTCCAACAGAATAAACAGAAAAATAATAACCTCATCTTGACACTACAAAATGACTATCAGTGATAGATTACCACTATGTTTATCAGAACCATGTAGTCCTCAACTTACAACTGTAACTGAGCCCACAATTTCAGTCGTAAGTCATGATGTTCTTAAACAGGTCAGCACATGGCTGTGCCCAGTTTTACAACCTTTTTGGAAGCAGTCGTGAACGCCACAATCATTAAGTGATTGTTCGCTATGGAGCAATTTTTGCAGGAAATCAGAAGTAAATGTCAGTTTCAGGCAAAAATGTCATAAATCACAATCACCTGACCATGGGACACTGCAAAAGGCTGTAAAAGTGGGCTGGTTGCTGAGCATCCAAAATGTAGTCACATGACTGTGGAGGGTGATAAACAATAGAGCAGAGGTCCCCAACCCCCAGTCCGTGGACCGGCACCAGTCCGCGGCATGTCAGCAATACTTTAAACGGTGCACAAATGACAACATTCTCTTTCCATTGCAACTTTCAGCTCCCTGAGCTCTTATGTATGCATTATTTTTATAATAAAACAAGGAGCATGTTGATAGACTTGCTTAAACAGCATGCAAAAGGAAAGCATGCCCTTCACTGATATAAAACAGAATAAACATTTCTTATATATTACTAGCATTAAAGTTCTGTGTCCTTTACATGTTTCCTTCTAAAATATTACTGTTACAGTACAAATAAAAATGGTTTCATCTGATGTAGTTGCAGAATTCCCAGTGAAAGGGCCTACATTAAAGTGAGCCACTCACTATCTTCACCCTATTTTTAAAGCAAAATCAGACTAAATACCAATCCCTTTCTCATGAAAAAGTGATTAACTGTCAAAATGATCTGAACAGAATTGCTTTGTATATCCTTGATCTTATCCTTTGGAAATTAATATACATGCCATTTAGCACTTTGCAGAAATGTGTGCATGTAAGGTATGTGTATCCATAGGAATATACATGCATATATACATTAGGCTTGCATAAAGGAGTGCACCTGCAACAACCTACAAATATATTTTGAGACAATACCATATATAAAGTATTCCACCAGATAGTGCCTTCACATTCTATAAGCATGCATTTTACATGGGAGATCTCATTTATTATGACAAAACCTATTGCCAATATTTAAGCATGTTTAGAATGGATATTTCAGGCTTGAATATACAGCTACATAACAATATAGAAAGGCTTTGATTTTTGCTTCTTTCACAAGATAATGGATGACATGACCCACCTCAAGTTTCTGACACATTATCTACAAACATTAGAAACAGTTTTTTTACTTTCTAGAACTTAATGGTTAAGGATCAGAACCTATATATGCAACATTACAATCAAGACACATTATTAGCTGAATCCAAAGATCATCCTTGCTTTAATCTCATATTTGTTTTTCTTAACTAGACATATTAGAAATTCCCTTTGAAAATTTCAATGGGAGCTGCTATTTGGGATAATAAACCTAAAGTCCACTTGCAGCACAGAACATCCATACTTCAGAGCATGACCCATGAGTAGAAAAACCTGGCTAGGATCTCAAAAACATCCTTAAGTAGTTCCACATGCCTCATGCAGAAAGGAATAGACTGGGTTTGTTCCTCCATTTCTATTCTGCATAGCAAACTATTTATGAAAGTGAACCCAAAGATGCTTTTTCACGAGGCAACTCAACTTTCTCGTTTTTCTATGAAGACGTTTTGCTTCTCATCCAAAAAGCTTCTTCAGCTCTGATTGGATGGTGGGGAATGGAAGTCAGAGCTGAAGAAACTTCTTGAATGAGAAGTGAAACTTCTTCAAAGTAAAACAAGATAGTCCAGTTGCCTTGTGAAAAGCATCTTTGGGACAACTATGACCTGGGTGACTGAGAATCTCCATAGACATTTATGAAAGTGAAGTTACTTGAAAAAGTAGCTTGTAGCACCACTTTGACACACTATGGATTCAGTTGTTCACAGTAAGGGGGAAAAAACCAGGGGAAATCCCAAATGGCCCATTCTCAAGTATCTAAATTCACTTTTTGGAGCTTGATCTTTACAAATAAACATACTGAATCTTGTTTCTTGCACTGCTATATATAGAGTACTTCAATATAATTTAATTAATATAAGCAATTAAACAATTGTTACTACATTCCAAACTTGTATTTTTAACTTTCCTTTATTAGTATACAGCCTCTATGCTTTTGATGTGTATTTTGTATACCTAGCTTTATTTACTGTAAAAGCTAAAAAGGTTAAACAAATGCTTAATGAGTAAAATGTTAGTCATGTGTAATTTGTTATTTTTAGTTAATACTCTATATCTAGTTTTAAAAGCAAATTTTAATTATAAATGCATCAATTTCCAAATGGATTGACATAACACCCTACTGTTCCTATCTGTCTTGAAAATAAGTCTTTAGGCACATAATGATACCTTACTGAAAAGATGTCAACACTGTGTAGTAGCTACTTCAGTAGTACTCATATATTCTGTGGCCCTCAACATGTCTATTGTTGCCTGAGATTAAAAGGGGGAAAAAAAGAACACTTGATGGACTAAGAGTTTGCCAGTTGTTTTATTTAATAACTATTTAGGAAAGCAACTACTTTAAATATACCCCAAATTAAATATGTCATCTCTGAAAATATTAACAAGTTGGCAGTGACAGCCTTAATAAGCTAAACATATTCTATCTTAGAAATTCCTAGGAATTAGCTTTGTAAAAAAAAAAAAAACACCGCTGGAACTTTGGCTCTGATGCATGCATCATCTTGCAGGATCATCACAATAGAGATTTTATTCTGGGGTGGTACAGCCTATATAAAATTTTGTTCTAGTTTACAGTATTATAGGAAGGCTCACACATTTAGAACCATAAAACTACCAAGCTATAAAAACTAATTTTGCTTCAATTCTAGTAAATACAGAAAGACATTTTAATTATTAAAAATTGTATCACTAGGAGTAACATATGCACCTATTTATACATGAAGTACAATTTATTGTATAAATGTTGTATTTGCCTCTATCGTGACATGTAGGGAAGTTCCCGGAACCTGATTATTTTACTCATTGGAAAAATATTGATGTAAACATCTGAAAGTTCACTAGATGTCTTCAACATCCATTTATATTAGTTCAAATCCAAAGCAGACAGAAAAGCAAGCAAAAATATATCTTCCCATTATAGAAACCCACCTAACTTGTTAATCAGCTACCTTTAATGAACTAAATCTGCTAACAGTAGACAGCGCTCTCTATATCTCAAATTAAATATCTGAACTTTTACTGTTACTACTATTTAATTATTTTTGACACTTTCTCACAGCATTGGAGCAAGCATTTTCAATATAAGCCAAAAACATTTTTTTAAAAAGCTTGTATATACTGAATAATTTCATTTGGTCCTCTTTCTCCCACAGCTCTGTCTTCTTAATACAAGTTTGCATTATTAATTCTATCTGGAAAAGTGGCCTCCAAAGTATTTTAATGAATCCGGAAAAACAGATACAAATGTTAAAAAAGTGCTCAAAAAGAAATTTATATGTGTATGTGTGTGCGCGCACACACACACACACATACATACATACATACATACACACACACACACACATTGTATTTCAAGATGGAATTGAGAAGCATTTGTCCCTTGCATTCATCATTCATAAAAAGTGGAAGTGTCTTCCTTTAGATGAGGTCAAGGCCAAACTGCTTATCACAGGGTTCCTGAAAAGACCGGGATGCCCATTATTATTTCCTTTTATTTTTTGGCACTTTCATGATATGTGGCTGTTTTACCTGTTGTCCCTGCTAAGCTTCTGTAACTGGCTCGGTGTACAAGCACTTTTGAAACAGGGATTTTTGTTCTAGGAATCTCACTTTTGGTAGCCTGGTGGTGTACAATGTGATGGCTATTACTGGAATCCTGGCCATGGCTACCATGTGGTGATGTAAAATGCTTGATACTGATGGGTATCTTTGAATCCTTGAGTGAAGTTGTATGGGTTTTGACTGGACAAGTAGTTGTTATCGGAGATAATGGCTTGCAACAAGTCACTGTGGTGATATTTTCTGCAGAAGTCACAGTTGCTGTGTTTTCATCTGGATCAGTATACAGATCATAGAGAGCATCCCCACTGCAGCTGTCCCTGGGAATGACCTCTTTCTGAATACTGTTAGTATTGTCTTCTTCAGGTCCAGGTGTAGTAGAATCCCAATAGCCCTCATCACTGCTGGGGATGGCTTCCTGCTGCTCCTTTTCTCTATTTTTCTGGTCTTCTTTCTGGTGGTGAACTGGAATCTGGCTAAGACCAATCTGCTTTCCATTTGCTGACCCATCCTGAACTCTCCTGACAATCTTATCACCTTTGGAGGTCTCAGGGGATTCCATCCTTCCTGCTGTCCCCTGTGGTTTCTCTTCAGTGTGTGACAATAAATCCCAGAACTCCTGAGTACAAGTGTCTCCCACCTGTTCAGGGCTGGCCATCTCCTCTCCTCCTCCCTGGTAAGTCACCACGCTGGCAGGCTTCTTGGAGGGCCCAGCTTTGCCAATCCCAGGGGCACTCCTCTCACTTCCACCTCCACCACTGCCACCGCCGCTGCCCACGTCATCTTCCTGGTCAGCAATAATGTCCCCACAGCCTGTAAGAGAGTCAAAGCTTTTCAGTGAAGTCACGTCAGCAAACATCAAACAAATACGGTCAATAGATGGCTCAGAGGGTGGATCAAGAGAGGAAGGGTCAGGGGCTGCTGCCGCCTCTTGGCTGCGCTCATACTTGGGTTCAACAGGGGGGGAAGACTTGATGGGGAGGTCACCTGTTTCAGCCGAGTCCTCCTTGATCTCTTGGCCATCACTACTGGTGGATTCAGGATGGACCTCTTTCTCCTGGGGCAAAATCCTGGGAAGCTCCTCTCCTCCGGAGCCACAGGGTGCCGGCTGCGGTGCCAGGTCTGTGGTGAGCATGACCTCAGTGGCCAGGGGACTCATTGGCTGTTCTCCATCCTTAGTGACCAGGGGTGTCCGGATGGGGTCAGCGGACGCTCCGGGTGCTGCCTCCTCTTTGATGCACTCCAGGCTGGCGGTGAGGGAGCCTGTATTGAGGATGCTGGGACTGGCCTGGCCCTCGGAGCCCTCACCGGCGTCGTCGTCGTCCTTCACCCCGCCGCCGGGCTTCTCCCGGCGAGGCCACCGCATGCTGCTGAAGAGCCCTTTGAGGCCCCCGCGCCCTTTGGGTCTCTCGCCTTTGCCGCCTTCGTCGGAGCGGCCGTTTTTGCGCAACAGCGAGAAGAAGCTGTGCGACTTGCCCACCGCCGCCGCCGAGGACGAGCAGGAAGAGGCGGCTTCCTTGGCGGCCACAGCGGCGGCCCCGCTACCCGCCACACGATCGCTCCCGCCAGTCTCCGGGCCCTCGTTCTTGCCGCTCTCCACCTCCAGCACCTCGGCCAGGCCATCGTGGGTCTTGCTCCTCACCATGCCCGTCCCCTGCCCGCCGCCGCCGCCGCCGCCGCCGCCTTCGCCGCTTTTGCTTTTGCCGCCGCTCCTTACACCGAAGATGCTTGGCATGGCGCCCCCGGATTTCCTTCGCTTAAACAATTTGAAGGCGGTTTTGTTCAGCTTGCCCGAGGGCGGCGGCGGCGGCTGCTCGCCCAGCGCGGTGGGTTCGCCACCATCGCACTGCGCGTCCATGGCGGCGGCCGCGACGGCGCTGCTTTTCCCCTCCTGCAGCCCCCGCGGACGCCTGCGCTTGATTTCCGCCGCTCGCTCGCTCGGCTGGCTCTCACTGACAGCCTCGACGCCGCCGCCGCTGCTGCTCTGCCTGCCGCCCGTCACCATGGCAACCCAGGCAGGGCTGAGCAGCTTGCCTCCGCGTCGGGCCTGGGCCTGCGCCAGGCTCCGCCGTCCATGGCGGCCAACCTGAGCCACAGCAGCCCCCGTCCGAGCCACGAGAGGGGCCGGGGGGGTGGAGGGAGGGAAGGGGGCGGCTCCTTTCTTCTCCGTCGCCCGAATGAGGAGGGGGAAGGCCGGTTTAACCTAATCCACTTGCGGCGGCTGCTCATTCGCTCAGCCTCAGGGTCTGCGCGAGGGACGCGGGCTGGGGGCGGGTGATTTGGAGTATATATGAAGGCTCTTGCTTACATTTTAACCGAACCGGGAAAGATGGCCCGGCTTCTCAGATCCCTGGGAGTCGCTCTCTCCAGGACTTGATCGCCCAGGGTACGGTTTTCTACCGGCGGGGGTGATGGTGGGAAACGGACATAAAGGAATCCCGTTCAATCTCTGCTTCGAAAGACCCCCCTAAGTGCAGCGACATTTGGAAAGAAGCTGGACCCCTTTTCCCCTATTTTAACCTTGAAGCTTGAATATCCATACAAACCAAACAAAGCAGAGGTTGCAAGAGCCAGTTTGGTCTAGAGCAGGGGTGGGCAACCTCGGCTCTTTTATGACTCATGGACTTCAACTCCCAGAATTCCCGAGTCAGCACAGCTGACTCGGGAATTCTGGGAGTTGAAGTCCATGAGTCATAAAAGAGCCGAGGTTGCCTACCCCTGCTCTAGAGATTAAGGCACCAAGCTACAAATCAGGAGGTAGTGAGTTCTAGTTCTGATTTAGGAATGAAAGCCTGTTAAGTGAGCTATTCATTTCTCTCTCAGCCCAACTCACTTCATAGGGTTGTTGTTCTGAGGAAAATAGGATTAGAAATGTTTGCCCCCTTAAACTATTTATAAAAGGAATAAAGGTGGGATAAAAAAAAAAAGAATGCACATGTTGAAAACTCACCATGGCCTAAGCTGGATGGCAATAAACTTGGATAGAGTATGATGCTGTTCTTTGAAAGAAAAACATTTTACAGGTAGTCCTCCACTTATGACCACAACTACTTTGCTAAACAAGTAGTCATTGTGAGTCACCCTGGATTTTATGACCTTTTGCCACAATTGTGAAGTAAATCAAGGCAGATATTAAGTGAATTACATAGTCATTAAATGAATCCGGCTTCCCCCATTGACTTTGCTTTTTGGAAGCTGGCTAGGAAGGTTGCAAAATGGCAATGAGTCCGGGACGCTGCAACTGTGTAAATACATAGCAATTGCCAAGCTCCCAGATTTTGATCATTTGACTAGGGAAGCTGCAACTGTCATAAAGCAATCACTTTTTTCAGTGCCATTGTAACTTGGAACAGTTGCTAAATAAATATTGATAAGCCAAGACTACCTTATGCTTCAAAATACAGCTCTAAACCCCCAGATGCATTTCATAACTGTTTAAGCAATTAATCAGAGGTTCTGAATTGGTTACAATAGGTTTTATAGCAAAAATAGCAAATTGATTGCATCAAGCTGCTGCAAAATGCAAAAAAAAAAATGGTTTTGACTCAGCCTAGTTCTTTTATTTCAAGAATAGCAGCTGGGTCATGTTTTTGTATCGGAACTATGTAAAAGAAAACAGAACTATGCTCACCCTGAGAATCTTTTGCTGCATTAAATTGAGATAGCTTTCCTCTGTCTTGGTGCTTTTAAGATAGAACAAAAGTCTCTGGAGATCCAATTAACATCTCCCATGTGTCAGACAAGACTTCTCATTACCCCCAAATCCTTTTAAGAACCAGGTATGTTTTGCATTCATTTGCTGTAGTCATGGGTGGTTCTGCTTTCCTGCAAATATTTTATCCATGTTACTTTTCAGAAATTATTTTGAGATCTGCAATTAGACTTGTCACTATGATGCTATTTATATAACTCCAAAAATGCAAGTTCAGATAAATTAAATTATTATATGTATTTATATGTCAATCATAAACATGTTTAATACATGAGTTTTGTTTATGCCATGCTATGGATAATTATGAATGTATTTTACATGTGCCGATGATATAAAAAGACTGCTTTTTAGTTGAATATTTTATTGATAAATGTTAAAATAACATCATGTTATATTAAAGCTGGTAATTATTTATTTTTGATAAAAAAAAGTATTTGGATGCTTACTTAATAGGCTCACCACTTTTAACAGGTTACATGCACTTACACTAATTCATCTCGGTTAAAGGCAAAATCTATTTAACTGGTCTGAACAATAGTTAGCAAATGTTTGAGGAATATATCAATAATAGAGGATAAGGCAATGTACAACAATGGCTACCCGTAACATTTCCATTATTTTTTTTATACATTTTATGCTGCTTCCTGCTTCTTTGCTTATCCAGGTAAAGCAAACATGTTACATAAGCAAATCAAACAGAACATACTGTACACAGCAAAATTATATTTGTTTTAGAAGCTGAATGCTGATAGACATTTAATACAATTACAGTATGCAATACACTGTAAGAGGAAAAAAGAGAAAGAAAATTGAATGAATTTTAATCCAATAAACCTCTATACCCAAGACTTAACTTGATTTGGTTTCTACAGTACGTCCAATGTCTTGATCAGCACACCACTCTGGCTGTATATCAGTTTAAATCCACGCTTTTCAAATTTGGCAACTTTAAGATATGTGGAGTTCAACTCCCAAAATTCCCAACCAGTATGATGGTTTAAAAGGAGATTACTACAGGCAATTAATGCTAGTTTTCGAACTAGCTTTTTGAAAATTGCAAGCAATACATCTAAAAACCAGCTAGGGGTGTCTAATGTAGTTTTTCATGTGTGAGAGCTTGTGCCCCAGTTCACTCACAGAGCTATTTATGCTCATTTGTTCCAATTAAACTATTTAGAAAATGGAATAGTGGTAGGTTTGAAGCAGAAAATCTGACCGGTTTTGATCCCTATGACATGCTAGAAGTTTTGCTGAGCTGTTTTGCATCAAACATGCTTTGCCAGAAACAAAGCTTGGAACATTTTGCTTGTTTGGGTTTGGGCCAAAACAAAATTTCCAGATATGTCAGAGTCATTTTATGGGGCAATTAGGGAAAAGCTGGTGCACATCTCTCCCTCTTTCCTCCGCCCCTGCATGCTCAGTGTGCTGGCACCCTTCCCCTTCTTTCTATTTTTTTTCTTTTTCTCTCCTGCTTCCTCTCAGCAGCCATTCTTATATCAAACAGCCACGTTTCATTTTGCATCCAGATCACGCCCTGTGCACATGTTTTGGTTTGGACCTGGACCCCTCAGAGCCAGCTTTGGCATAGAACCATTTATGCATGGAATATATTATATAATAAGTGTTTGGTAAGGGTTTTTTTTTAATATGAGAAAGAAGGTAGCTATCTAATTTCTACAATGTGTTTCAGAGAGTGGGTGCCACAACCGAAGGTATGCTACCATGGCAATTAGGATTTTTTTTAAAAAAAAAAACTTTTTATGTAAAGAAAAATTTATGATTGGAAAAAGGATCATATCTTGGTAGTAGAACAATATGTACAAAGTGCCAGATTGGAGCCCTAATATTTCCTGTAAAAAGGGTCAGATAGCAGGAAATGGAAAGAAAAACCTCTGCCTGATATGCTGAATTTGCTGTTTTGATCAGGCTGGAGAGAATACTGATTCAATTGGACAAATATTTGCAGTAAGTGTACATAAAGGGGTTATTAATGGAATATATCCTGTGCATGTGAGCAGTCATAAGATCTTTTAACATAGATTGCTTTTGTTGACCTAATCAAAGTACTTTGAGAATGGAAGTCCTACTCCATGCTATTAGCTAAGGAGCACTACAGATGCAGTATTTAAAATCTGGGTCAGAGAGAAGGCTTTGTGAATATGTTAAAGGGGCTTGTCTTGTGTTTTTTCCCTTTTGGGGAAGAAAAGGCTTCTAATGTTTGGTCTAGAATCTAATATGTGATACTCTGTACCAACAACCTATCCACAGCTGCCACATTACATAAGGCAGATATTCAGACAAACTATTATTTCACAGTCCGAGTAAACAGAAGCTTATGTTGAAGAAGCAAACAAAGAAAAACCCAGTTAGGAATCTAGCTGGAAACCACTACAGTTTCCAAACAACAAAATGCTATGATACAGCTGGTAGAATTAAATGCCTTTGTAAAGGGATCATCTCCCTGAACTGTGTATCTCTTCATTTTGTTGGGCCACCCAGCAAGGTGTCCTTCAAAGCCTCCATTCTCTGTGTCTGTGCAGGTGAGCTTCTTTGTGGTAGTGGTGGCAATAGCAGCAGCTCTGTTCTGCAAAATATTCAACTTTTCACAGTATCTTCTCCATAATATTCCAACAAGATAGGCTAAGAAATTAAAATGGGAAGCAGATGAGAGGCAGCTTTATGGGTGAGTCCTATCAGGCAAACAGGCTCTGACTAGTGCTGTGGGATGCCAGGGGTCAGCCTTTATAACATGGATCTAATTATTCTGTGTTATCCGTAATGACACAAAACTGTACCGAACAATTTAGTTGCCAAGTGTTATTCTACTCTGCCAGAAGACGTTTGCAGTTGGCTGTGGTCCAGCTCTAGCAATAATTTAAAGGAACACAAACGTCAATATATCACACAGAGAGAAAGAGAGTATACATACACATACACTACACAAAGCTTTTCTTTATTACCTTTTATCTCCTGTTTTGAATAGTTTAGTACAGAATGCTTCAAGACACAATTTGCACATCCTTGGATTAAAAAGAAAAACAAAGAAGGGATTGTTTTCAAGCTGACTGAGAAGACTTGATCTTGTCCCACTTCTGCCATGAGTGCTGAATGGATCTATGGGTATATTATCTTTTAGCCCTTCATAAAATGTTATTGATGTATCATGACAAAAGGAGGTTTAGAGTTGCATAATATTTACATTATGTGGGAATACAAATTTAGAAATGCATTGCTATGCTGTGAATGGAAATAACACACCATATTACAAGAAGACTAATTGCAACCAGGAGAAC